AACGGCTCAATAAAGGTTATTCATCGTTATTATCACTTATTTGTGCCAGGACACTATGCTAAGGCAGAACACAGTGCCATACTCCACAGAGGTTGCTGAATGAGCAGCCCAAGAGTGCTACTTTCAAAGACAGAAATTATTTCAGAGAGGAATGGTAAAAGGAAAGATTGCTCCCTGGTGAATCTGAGCTGGGTGAATGGATTTAATAGGTAGACAGTGCAGTACTCAGAAAGAAATTTAATAGCTCATACATATTCATTACCTAGAAAGAAAGAACGAAAATAAATGAATTAAACATTCAGTTCGTATAGTTAGAAAAAGGACATCAAAAGAATCCAAGGAAAGCAAAGAAAGGGATTAAGAAAGAGAACTTGAGTGAAAGGATTAGAAAATTTAAGAAACAGTACCAATCAAAGAAGGAAAAGGTCTGGAAAAGTACAAATTGCAAAACACTGGAAAAACCTAAAGGAATAGGGACAGTACTTCTAATCTCCAAAGCTGGGAACATTTGTGGCTTTAGCTACAAAAAGAGACCTGAAAGCAAATCCTGAGGAAATTTGGGTTGAAAAGGAATGTTGACACAGACGAAAATAGCTGAGGAATCATCCTGTCACTGGGGAGGAAAAGCCCAGTGCTGTGGTCACGTTAACAGGCCTCACAAAATGCCAACTAACTGAAGCTTGGCTAAAGTTTGTTGATTGCGAACGAGTAAGTAACTGCCATACTGTGGGAAATCTCGCGGCAACTCTGCCCAGCACAGTCATTTCACCATACATAGGTATGTGCAAGGGCGGGTTCTTCAGTATTTAACTTCCTCCAATGGTAAAGACACTGAATTCAAATGAATACATTAGGAAGTGTGAATCAAGAAGAGATGTAAGAAGTGCTTGTATGTTGGAACTTGCCCTCCAGGAATCATGAAGAAGCCAGGATCTGAAGAAGCCTGAGATAGACCTTGTAGAGAGCAGCCCAGCTGTCTGAGTCACTCCAGCCAGTCCAGCTGAGCTGCCATTGTGGCCACATGAGTGAACCCAGGGGTAGGTGGATTAGAGGGTAGAGAAAGAATGTTTCCCTGAGCTACTAGAACAGAATTGTCATTGACTAAGATTGGGAAGAATATCAGAGTTGTTTAGGAGTAAGTTACGATGGAGATACCTTTGGGGCATCAGAGGGAGTTGATAGGGAAGCAGTTAGATGAACACATTTTGAGTACATAGTAGAGGCCCGGGCAGGAGATATAAAATTGGGGAGTTTTTGGGATATTTACATTTATAGGATTGTATAAACTCACTTAAGGAGTGAGTTTAAATGAGAAAGGTGTGAAATCTGACTTCTAAGATTCTCCAACATTTAGGGGATAAGGAGGAAACACCGAAAGAGTGGGGCAGGAGAGGCAAGTTGTTTAGGGAAAACAATGGGTGAATGTGATGTCATAGACATCAGTTGAAGAATGTGTTTTAGGGGAGTGATTAAATTAGTCACATTCTGCTGATAGATAGGACTGAGGCCTGGCTGACAATTATTTGTAGCTGTAAAGAACAAAATAAAACCCACAAAAAACCCACAAAACCTATGAAATAGATTATTTTTTATTTACAATGTATAGATGAAAAATATGAGGATAGATTTACCAAAATCCCATACCTACTCAGCAACTGAATTCGTGATTTCAAAACAATGCTACATGAAATATAGAAAATGCTTTCTCTGAGAGAAAGCTTCTAAAAGGAGGATTCAGATTGTCCAGAAGAAGGCTATTAGGGGGGAAAGAAAGAGAAGGTCTAGACCAGGGGTGGGCAAACTTTTTGACTCAAGGGCCACAATGGGTTCTTAAACTGGACCGGAGGGCCGGAACAAAAGCATGGATGGAGTGTTTGTGTGAACTAATATAAATTCAAAGTAAACATCATTACATAAAAGGGTACGGTCTTTTTTTTTTTTTTTAGTTTTATTCATTTCAAACCGGCCGGATCCGGCCCGCGGGCCGTAGTTTGCCTACGGCTGGTCTAGACAAAAGTGGGGACACGGAACAGAGGAGGATGGAGTCAAAAAATACAAGGCCATATCTTACAAACTCAGAGGCCAAAAGAACCCTATTGGATGATTTGAAGTTAAAAGTAAAAGCGAGTCACAGTGTTAGTTATATCCTAGCCTTGTTTGTGGTTTTTTTGTTTGTGTGTGTGTGTGTGTGTGTTTTGTTTGTTGTTTGTTTTTGCAGAGGTCAAACTTATTGAGCCTGTCGTATTGTCTTTTTGCATCTAGGATAACATACCTTTGGATTTTCAGGTAAATTTCCTTTTTTACAGACTTCTAAGGGCACAATCTCCAAGCACAGAAGACCAGAGAGCCCCAATTATTATTATTGTTGTGTTAAATATTAACTGTTAACTATTGGATAACATTTTAAAAAGAAGTTTGTGTCTATTTTTTTTTAACTTTTTATCCAATCCCAGAGATTTCCCTCATCAGCCCCCCCTAATTTATCACCAGTGAATTTCATGTAACCCCCTTATGTCTTCTCCTCTGAGTCTAATGTAAAAAAAGGTGCAAAACTGCCAAAAAAAATAATAATACAAGGCCATATTTTTTAACACTTTGAAAAAGCAACAGAAGAGGGAGCCTTGGAGTTAAGACAATTTTATTACGAAGTTCATTTAAAAGGATACATGAACAGGAATATCTGGGGAAGCCCTGAAAAAGAAGAAAATGTGCAGAGGCGAGCCCTACCAGTTAATAAGACATTATAAAGCCAATATAATAGCAAGATGGTATTGGCACATGAGTACATAGATCAATAAAACAGAATAGAAAATTCAAACATAAACCTAACTGCATCTGATGGGAGGAGATATTTGCAACTCATATATCTGATAGGGGGCTAATAAGCAAAATATATAAAGAATTCTTACAACTCAATGGCAAACAAACAAACAATCCAAGTTAAAAAAAAAAACGGGCAGAAGATCTGAATAGACATATTTCCAAAGAAGACATACAGATGGTCAATAAGCACATGAAAAGGTGCTCAACATCACTAATCAGCAGGAAAAAGCAAATCAAAACCACAATGAGCTATCACCTCACACCTGTTAGAATGGCTATTACATTTATTTTTTATTTTTGTTAATCTTCACCTGAAGATATTTTTCTCCCATTGATTTTTAGAGAGAGTAGAAGGGAGGGAGAGAGACAGAGAGAAAAACACATCAATGTGAGAGAGACACATTGATTGGTTGCCTCCCATGACAAACCAGGCCAAGGGTATGTGCCCGTGCCCCGTGACCAGAATAAAAATTCGTGGCCCTTTCAGTCCCACAGGCCAATGCTCAAACCCACTGAATCAAACCTGACTAGGGCTAGAATGGTTATTATAAAAAAGACAAAAAATAAAAATTGTTGGTGAGGGTGTGGAGAAAAGGAAACCCTTGGTAGAAATGTAAATTGGTGCAACCACTATGGAAAACAGTATAGAAGTTCTTCAAAATATTAAAAATGAAACTATCAGATGATCCAACAATTCTGCTTCATACTATGTATATACTAGAGGCCTGGTGCATGAAATTCATGCACTGGGGGTTGGGGGAATGTCCCTCAGATGGGCCTGTGCCCTCTCATAGTCCAGGACCCCTCGCTCCTTACCACCTGCCTGCTTGCTGCTCCCTACTGCTTGGCTCGCTGCGCTGCTCCTTAGTGCTGCTGCAGAGGTTCCAGGCTACTGGTGCTTTTAAAGAAAACCCCTGTACAGAAAGGTGGGTGGAAGGAACCTCAAGACTAACCTGTCCGTCTTTACAGTTTGGCCTTGGGCTTGTAGTTTACTAGTCCGGAGAACGACACACATGTGGATAAACAGATGAATATTTCTCAACAAGCACTAATTGGCAAGAAAAAAGATTAACCGTTTGTACTCCATAAGCATCTATAGATGCAAGCCGTGGACCTTCCCCATACGCCACGCATGTCTATAGCCACACACCTCGCATATCAACTCTGGTCGCCCAATTTTAAAATCAGACTTGTTAGTGACATCTCTGGGTTTGTAAAGAAAATTATGCTAACTTAAATTTGTAAATATTCCAGCGCATATGGAAGAAATGCCAATATCAATATATGGGGCTGCCACTCAGACACACAAGAGATAAACACGGACACTTAAGATTTTCTTTTGTTTATTGTGACACTTGAGACTTGTTTGTGTTATCATGAATTGTACGCCTAAAATGGTAAACATGGTGTGCATTCTTCGTTATCTTTTACAGATTTCATTTTTGGAGCATCAACAAAATTTTGTGTTTTTGAGGCTTTTCGTGTCAATGGTTTGTTTTTATTTCACACTCACTTTTGTTGATATTTCCGTAGAATTAAAGATTATTATTTTATTATTGAACTAGAGGCCTGTTGCACGAAGAGATTCGTGCAATAGGCCTTCCTTCCCCTGGCTGCCGGCACCGGTTTTCCTCCGGCACCCAGGACCCAGGCTTTCGCTCCACTGCAGTGGAGAAGCGAAGCCTCTTCAGCCTTCAGCCTTCACTCTGTGCCTGTGTATGCAAATTAACCGCCATCTTTGTTGGGTTAATTTGCATATTCTCCTGATTGGCTGGTGATAGTAACAGAGGGACAGTCAATTTACATGTTTGTCTATTATTAGGTAAGATTTATCGTTATAATATATTATATTGTGCAAATAAAATTCAATCCCCATAAATGGCATCAGAGGAAGAAATAATCGAACCAAGCACCTTGCAAGAAGAGGTTTCCGTTTTGGACACGTGGCAGTTAACTGGTTAATTCTGTTAGAATTTAATCTCCTAAATATCTCACAAGTTTTCCCCAAGAGAGGCCCAGTGGTGAATGGCCCTGCAATGGGATAATAAATTATCTCAGGTCAGGGGGAGAATTCTAAGCTCCTGTGCAGATCCCGTGCCTAGACAGATACCAAAGTGAGGAAAGGGAGAGTGGTGCAAATACAACCAGGAAGAATGAGTCATAAAGCAACTCATAGAGGGAACCTGGAGTAGGACAGACCAGTAATGCCTGAGACTCTTGACTCCCCGTCCTGCTCCTCAATGGTATATTGCAGTTCCTGAAATGAACAGAAGGGGCGCCATTCCTGCATTCTTCCTGCTCAGTAATGAAGCCCCTAGTGAAAGGACATCACCTACAGGTATTTCATTTTACAGTTTGAGAGTGTTTCTCATTTGATCTTTATAGCAACTAGGTAATGATTGGGGGCATGTCCTATTTACTCTATTTTACAGACAGAAAACTGAGAGGCAGCCAGTTTAAGTGACTTAATCAGTGTCAGGCAATTAAGCTGCAGAGCTAGTCTTTTGACTCCTGAGTCAGTGTCCTTCCCACTCTCTAGACTAAAGCAGGGTTGTCAGGTACAACCCAGAAATGGACAGAGACACAGATTCTGACAAGGGGGAATGAAAACCCACTCTGGGAGCCATCCCTCACAGACAATGGCCTTGGGAATGCTGCTGCTCTTAGGATAGTCACAGGTCAAGCTGAACCTGCTCCTGGGTTTCAAACATATCACTGAATTTGGCTTCCTGGGGTCATTCTGTGATCAGGGCCATGAGTCTAGTTTGGCCAAGGGGAAAGAAGGGTATGAGCAGAAGTAGGTTGGGCACGTGCCACTTTTTTGCCTCATGCCTGTTTTCCTAGGGACATGAAGACACCCAATGTAACCCCTCAGTGGCTACAAGTTGGAAATCTTCTAAAATGATTACTCTTGACAAAGGCGAGGAGGCCTGCTAGACTGTCAGAGACCTAAAGTGCCTAGGCAGCCTCTGCTTGCAAGAAGCCGAGTATAGAGACGCAGAGCCTCTGAATCAGTGTAAAAATTTGGCCAAAGAATGTTTCTCCACGTCAGTGTTTTAGGAATGGTTGCACTAGTGCTCTGTAATAAAAACACCTGTATCAGTGACACACAACCCAAAGCATTTATTTTCTTGCTCACAAGTCTATGGGTTGGCTGGGCCCCCTCTGGGTTGAGCCTGGAGGTCTAGCTCAGGCCTGCTGCCTGGTCTGCATTATTCCAGGCTCGGTGACGAACAAAGGCACGGATGGTGAATGGCATAAGCACAAAAGGGCAAGCCAAACCTCACAAGCACATTCAAAGCCCCTGCTTGTGTCACAGTGTCACTAGCACTGCATTGGCCAGAGCAAGTCATGGATTCCAAGCAGGGGAATATACTCTGTACTAGTGGGAGGTACTACAAAGTCGTTTAGTAAAGGACATGGATGTAAAATACTAAATCATGGAAGGAGTGAAGCAATGGGAACAATGGTCCAAAGTACTGTCCAAAGATTTTGGTTCGAAATCTGACAAAAATATTATTTATGAGTAACATTAAAAAATAATAAAACAGCCCTGGCCTGTGTGGCTCTGTGCACAGAAAGATTGCAGGTTCAATTCCTGGTTAGGGCACATATCCAGGTTTCAGGTTCAATACCGGGTCAGGGTGGATATGGGAGGGAACCAATTGATGCTTCTCTCTCGCATCGATGTTTCTCTCTCTCTCTCCCCCCCCTTCCTGTACCTTACTGTCTCTCTAGAATCAATTAAAAACATATCCTTGGATGAGGATTTAAAAAAAAAAACCTTAAAAAAATAAGGCCATTTATTGTCGTATTATATGCTAGGTACTTTTGTTATGTACTTTGCATGTATTCATTTAATCCTCACAACAATCCTATAAGGTAGATATTATTGTGACCCATATTTTACAGATGAAACAAAGCACAGCTGGGTTAAGGAAGAATTAAGATCACACTACTAATGGCAGAGGAGGACGGTGACAGTTACATTGGAAAGGATCACTGTCCATTTCCTCTTTCCCTGTTGTGTCTCTCTCACCCTGTCCTTCCCTCTAAGTGCCCTGTCTTGGAAAACTATGACATCTGGCCACCCGAGCCAGAACCCCCTAGCGTCATCCTTGAGGCCCCTCTCACTTGCCTCCTGCCACGTGATTCAGTTCATCAGGCTCTACTGTCTGTACCTCCTTAACTCCTCCCAGGTCTGCTCCCTTCTCTTCAGTTTCTGCCATTGCCCTGCCACCACTTCTTCTTTTTTTTGTTTTTAACTGGAATTTATTGGGGTGACATTGGTTAATAAAATTATATAGGTTTCAGGTATACAATTCTATATACATTATCTGTACATTGTACTGTGTTCACCGCCCCAAGTCATGTCTCCTCCTCTCACCATTTATCCCCCCTTTACTCTCTCCTACCTGCCCTGCCACTTCTTTCCAAAAGATCCCCTATCCTTAGTCCTGTCCCCTTATATGCTGACAGAGGATTCCTATGATTGCATC